AAATTCACAGTATGGGCCTGGAGACTCCAGGAGTGGTCAGGGTAACTCCTGAGGAGAAAAGGCATGCACTCTGCCAGGGAGTTATTAAAAACATTTTTTAATGGAAGAGAAGTTTGGTTGATGTTTTACAGGAGAAGGGGGAATTATCTTCTGCCACCAAGGAAGATTCAGGGGGATCTGAAAGTACAAAGTTCTCAGCTTTGTTCCTCACTGACCAAACGTCACCATACCAAGTTTCAGAGTCCTATGCCTTTATTCTATGTAAAGTAGAATAAAGGCACCTCCCAACAGTGCCTTTATTCTAGCGTAAGGGCATCATCACTCAGACATGAATCCAAGACATTCAGGTCTTGGATTTGATCTTCAGCCATATCTGTCATGTGGCCACATACAATAAACGTTTCTTAAGACTTCCATAGAGGATATCTACATCTCTACTTGTAACTTGAGTTAGAAGTTTATGGTCTAAAAAAAAAGAAATTTATGGTCTAACCTTACCTTTTTTTTTTTTTTTGAGAAGTCTTGCTCTGTCATCCCGGCTAGAGTGCAATGGCATGATGTCTGTCTGCTCACGCAACCTCTGCCTCCTGGGTTCAAGTGATTCTCCTGCCTCAGCCTCCTGAGTAGCTGGGATTACAGGTGCCTGCCAGCATGCCTGCATTTTTTAGTAAAGACAGGGTTTCACCATGTTGGTCAGGCTGGTCTCAAACTCCTGACCTTAAGTGATCCGCCTGCCTCGGGCTCCCAAAATGTTGGGATTACAGGCATGAGCCACCACACCCAACCTAACTTATCTTTTTTATTGGAATTTTACTAGCACAGTCAGAAACGGCCAGTGAGGTTCTGGCCTCAATATAGTACTATAGTAATAATATAGTAATCACCATTTGCAATCATCATTTGTGGCCATAGCAATTAAGTGCCCCAGGTACCTTATCTTCTAATGTCTTGCCTTCCAGGATTTCATCCATGCCTCACAAGTGATAGTCTAAGTGATTCTGATACTTCTACGTGCTCCAGATTACTTGTGTCCTCGTTTACCAAGCACAGAGACCATCCATGCCCTCATCAAGGGCAAGCCAATCCTAGAATCCCATTTTGGGAATGTGTTTCCTGGTACTACGGATTATATCTATGAGGACCCTGGCAGGAAACAGAGCACACTGCAAGGATACAGGGAAAACCATGTTTCCCTACTCTCTACTCCCACTCACCACTCAGGACTTCTGTGACCTCTGGTTAACCAAAAGCGTGTTGGGATTTCTCCCCACCAAGAAATTCTCTGGCAGACAGTTTTCCAGTGGACACCAGATGGGTGTCCTCTAATTCAATTCAATTTTGACATCATTTACCTGGAGGTAGCATCAGATCCCACAAGTTGAGGGCTTAGTTCCAGAAGACTGCCCCCTACTTCAGATACCAATTGCAAGCACAGATTGTGGCCCGTGCTTCTGACTGACCAGCTATAAATAGGGGTTTCCACAACCCACCTGGGGTTCAATTAATTTGCTAGAGCAGCTCACAGAAGTCAAGGAAACACTTAACTTATGCTTACTCATTTATTACAAAGGATGTTACAAAGGACAGATGAACAGTCAGATGAAAGGGGACATTCAGATAGAACAAGGTATGGGGAAAAAAGGTGTGGAGTTTCCATGCCCTCTCTGGGCACCCTCCTCCAGGAATCTCCATGTTCTCAGCTATCCAGAAGCCCCCCACCCCAACTTAGTCCTTTTGGGTTTTTATGGAAGCATCAGTACATAGGTATGAATGATTACATCATAAGCCATTGGTTTATCAACTCAAGCTTCAACCCCTCTCCTCTACCCAGAGGTGGGGGTTAGTGGGACTGAATATTCCAACTCTCTAAGCATGTGGCAGGTTCTTTCTGTTGACCAGCGCCAATCCAGAGGCCGTCTTGGGGCTCCCCGCCACCAGTTATCTTATTAGCCTACAAAATATACATCTCTCCCAAGATTCCAAGGATTTTAGGAGCTATATGTCAGAAAAGGAGGATGAAGACCAGATATATATTTCACACTGACACATATACTCAAAAATAATTTAACTGGGGCTGGGCATGATGGCTTACCCCTGTAATTCCTGCACTTTGGGAGGCCAAAGCAAGCGGATCACCTGAGGTCGGGAGTTTGATACCAACCTGACCAACGTGGAGAAACTCTGTCTCTACTAAAAAAAAAAAAATTAGCTGGGCATGGTGGCGCATGCCTTAATCCCAGCTACTCAGGAGGCTGAGGTAAGAGAATCACTTGAATCTGGGAGGCAGAGGTTGCAGTGAGCCGAGATTGAACCATTGCACTCCAGCCTGGGGAACAAGAGCGAAACTCCCTCTCAAAAATAAAGATTTAACTGGAAAGATTTTAATAAAGAGACAATTTAAGAGACTGGGTCAGGATTAAGGAACCAACATGGGATGATAGGCAGTTGGGGTCTAACAATGGTGAGAAACCATTTACAAAGGCTTAAAGGGGCAAGAAGAGGGAACAGTGTTTCCAAACCCTGTCATCCCAGCACTTTGGGAGGCCGAAGAGGGCCATCACCTCAGGCCAGGAATTTGAGACCAGACTGGCCAACATGATGAAACCTCATCTCTATTAAAGATAACAAAAATCAGCTGGGCATGGTGATGTACACCTATAATCCCAGGTACTTGGGAGGCTGAGGCAGGAGAATTGCTTGAACCTAGGAGGCAGAGGCTGCAGTGAGCTGAGATTATGCCCACTGCACTACAGCCTGGGCAATACAGTGAGACTCAAAAAAAAGGGATAGAGATAAACCCATGGAAGGGAGGCAGCCCAAAAGGATCACTGTAGACCAGTGGGCCTCAATCTGTAGACCAGTGAGCCTCAAACTTCAGCACATATCTGAGTCACCTGGAGGATGTGTGAAAATGCAGTTTGCTGGACTCCATCCTCAGAGTCTCAGATGTAGTAAGTGGGAAGTAAAATCTAAGAATTCGTGTTTCTAACAAGCTCCCAAGTGATGCTGCTGCTGCCCAAAGACTACTCTTTGAGAACAAATGCCGTAGAGGAAATTATTCACTGCCAGAATTGCAGCAAGATGAAGGATTTAGGGAATTAATACTCTAGCCTCTCTCCTTCCATCACTGATTTCCTGCTGCTGCCTCTCATGGGCCAGCCCCAAATGGAAGCCAGAGAGCAGGACCCTGAGTAATGCAATCTGCAGAGGTCAGCCTTCCAGGGCCATGAAGAGTGGAGAACGGATGAGCTGGGGCAAACAGAATAACCAAAACCACCATGGACAGAAGAATGGATACGTCAATGGAAAGAGGGATCGATAGATGAATTAATGAGCAGATACCTGAATAAAAGGATAAAAGAAGGCCAGGCATGGTAGCTCATGCCCGCAATCCCAACACTTTGGGAGGCCGAGGGAAGTGGATCATTTGAGGTCAGGAGTTCAAAACCAACCTAGCCAACATGGTGAAACCCCATCTCCACTGAAAATATAAAAATCAGCTGGGCGTGGTGGTGGGTGCCTGTAATCCCAGCTATTCAGAAGGCTGAAGCAAGACAATTGCTTGAGCCAGGGAGACAGAGATTGCAGTGAGCAGAAACCACACCATTCCACTCCAGCCTGGGCGACAGAGTAAGACTCTTTCTCAAAAAAAAAAAAGGATAAAAGAAGAACAATGGCTAACAGTCAGAGCTTGTTATGTATCAGCCTCTAAGCTAAGGGCCTTACTCAGGGTACCTCATTTAATCCTAAGAAGTAGATCTGCTACCATTCCTGTTTTACAAATAAGGACACTAAGACACAGAGACTGGAGAATTTTCACCTTGTCACACAGCTAGTAAGTGGTGGAATCTGGATTCCAACCTAGGCACTCTGTCTGCAGAGTCTCTCTCCTCTGCACTGTGTACTACACATGCTGTGCCATGACCAAGTGGCAGATAGATGGTGTGAGGTGGAGGCAAAAAGTGAAAATCCTAGCACACCTGGGTCCAAGTCATGCTCCAGTACTTATTAGCTGTGTGGCCTTGTACTCTGAGCTTCATGTTCCTTATGAGTAAAACAAGAATAATAACACAAAAATAAGAAAAACTACACCATAGTATTGTTTTGGGAAAATTAAGCAAGGTGATAATGGTAATATCAAAATCCTTGATATAGAGCCTAGCACATAGTAAACAATCAGAAATACCATTAATAATATTATGATTAATGGATGCAAAGAAGCAAGTCAGAAATTTAAGAAGAAAATGTTCTCCCTCCCTCTCCACATCCAAAAGAGGGTCTAAGACTTGGGTGATGATGGGTGAATGGGCATTTCATATTTAGTTTCTCTTTCGAGGCCTTCACTTCAGATCTTTCTCATAAGGATGGGAAGTCACTTGTCCCCTCCCCCATCGGTCGATTCCTTGAAATTTTAAAATTTGTCTGAATATGAGCTGGCCAGCCCCTCTCCTTAGAAATCCCCTCTTGGTTCTCAGGACTGAGTGAATGGGGGAAAATGAAGGGGGCTATTCCAGGCCAGGCTCCCTCCAGCTGTTCCTATGGCCCAGGTATTGGATTTAGGAAAATGGTAAATAGGGGAAGGGGAGGGCTTGATGAGCCCCCGAGGCCTGAGAGGTAGGATGGGGGTCCTGGGCCTCCTCCCAAGGTACCTGGACTTTCAGCTCTGCTTGCCCCAAAGGAAGGACTGGTCCCCAGATGGTGGGTGGGCAGGAACTGTGCACCCCAGATTCTCATGGTTGTCCTGAGGGACAACCTCCCAAGGAAGAAGCACCAGTGAGGACAAGGGATAAACCTAAGGAAAGGAGCACAGCTCCTCACTGTGGCCCCCACCTTTGACCATTACTTCTGAACCCCAGTCCCATGGTTGATGATGCAAATGCCACCAATGGGATGACAGGGCAGTCCCTCTCTCTGGAGAAACAGTGCACAGCCCCATTTTCTGTATCAGACTGCAGACTTAACGTTCTCAGAGCAGGAGCCAAGGAAAGCACAGGGAAAGGGCAGCTGCAGGGAAAAGAGGGGGGCAGGGTGAGGTTGTGCCAGAAAGAGGGGGACAGCAGGGGAATTACAGAAAGGGGAATTTCAGGCAGAAAAAGTGAAAGGCCATAAATAGGAATCAGCTGCAGGCCTCACATTCCCAGCCTCACATCACTCTCACCCTTGCATCCCAGTGGCCCTGCAGCCTCACACAGATCCTGCACACCAGAGACCACTGGTGCTCACACATTTGCTGTTGGCCTGCCTCTGTTCACCCTCCATGGCCCTGCTACTGGCCCTCAGCCTGCTGGTTCTCTGGACTTCCCCAGGTAAGGCTGAAGGGAGAGTCAGAGTGGGGGGCAGTGGGGGGTGCTGGCAGTGGGTAATGTCTAGATCTCAGGTTGCTTGGCACTGGATGTGAGGGACATGGCGATTTCAGGCAAATGCTTAGGACTTCATGTTTCGGTGAGCCTGGCGGGTCCTTGTGTGTGTACCTAAAAGTGTGGGCGTCCCTGTGGCCCGAATTCCAACCCAATGTGGGTGTGTCTCTTGGCACATCCTGGGGCCTGTGGCTGGGCTCTCTCTGCAAGTTCTATTTCCTGCTGCCTCCACTTATCAAGGAGAAAGAGAGAACAGTATATATTTGCTTAAGGTAGGGAGAATGGCAGACACTGAGGCAAGACTGATACTCAAAAATTTTAGCAATTAATAAGGCTCCTAACACCAGCCTACCCCGCCCCACACCCTTCCCACACTGTGATCTGCATCACTCTACTTGCTGGATTGTCCTGGGAGAGAGGTTGAGGTGATCAGGGCAGCACGAAGCCATTTGTGGGGCTCAGGGCAGTGGTTATTTACAGAACAGCTTAGAAGTATAACAATATATTTAGCAATCAGTAGGGCCATGTTGGTGCATACTGGCTGAATACCAGTTCTATCTCCTTCCCTAGCCTCCACCACACACACACACACACGCACACACACGTCCTTAATCTGAGCTTGGGCCATGGCCACACCACCCTCAGGGTCCCTGTGTCCTGTCACCTTTCCCCATCTCAGCCCCAACTCTGAGTGGCACCAACGATGCTGAAGACTGCTGCCTGTCTGTGACCCAGAACCCTATCCCAGGGTACATCATCAGGAACTTCCGCTACCTTCTCATCAAGGATGGCTGCAGGGTGCCCGCTGTGGTGTGAGTTGTGGAGAGGGTGTCTAGTCTCATCTCCCCTTTTAGCCCCTGTTGAGACTCCTGCCTTCTTATCCCCCTTCTCCATGCCAAGCCCAATCCCTTCAAATAAATCCCTGAAATGGGTTCCCAGACATGGTCCCCAGGCATGCTGGATGCTGGGGCTCCATTCTCTCTGACCTCTCACCCCAGGTTCACCACAGTCAGGGGCCGCCAGCTCTGTGCACCCCTAGACCAGCCCTGGGTAGAACGTATCATCCGGAGACTGCAGAGGACCTCAGCCAAGGCAAGCCTGGCCCTTCCTGGCCCTGTCTCCTCCCTCTGAGCTCCTAAGATTCCAGCCCCTCACCCTTCCTCTCCTTCCTCCTCTAGATGAAGCGCCGCAGCAGTTAAGTCATGACAGCACCAGAGGGAACCTGGAGTCTGAGTGAAGCATTGTGAATTATTTCCTAACCTGGGGGAACCAGGGACCAGAAGGAAGCACCAGGCCTCCAGCTCCTCTGCACCAGACCTGACCATCCAGCGCAGGGCCTGGGGTGTGTGTGTGAATGTGAGCAAGAGGGTGAGTGTGGTCAAAGCCACTCCACCCCCAGACTGCAATGCCACCAATAAAGCCACCTGGTGTTTACAACTAATTGATCACAACCAGCTACAGATTTCTTTGTTCTTTCTCCATTCCCACTGCTTCACTTGACTAGCCCAAAAAAAAAGGCCATCTGGCACCCACAGATCTGTCTGTATGCTGTCTAGCCAGGAGGACAGGAATAGAAAGGGGAGGTGGAATGGCAGGATCTCTTTTCTCTGCTGCAGCCTAAGGTGTCTCCTCCACCTAAGAACCTGATGCTCTGAGGATCAGCCTCATTGCTCTCCACAGTTCAGTGACACTAAGCTTAGGTCAGCTCCCTGAGTAAGCCAGTGTTTCATGCCTCCCAGTTTTTGCTCTCCATGGCAGGTGTTCAAGCATCCAGGTGTCTGAGGGATCCAGTGTCACTGGGGGGAAGGGAGTTGTGGGGAACCAACTCTCATGGCTGGGGGAGGCGGAGTAGAGCAAAGGGCCCAGCTTTACTGCCTGGGGTGAAAGTACCCATCTACCCATGCCCTTCCCTTGGTCTGGCACACTCTTCTCTCTCCTCTCCCCATCTGGCTTCCCAACTGGGTCCAGGTGCTTCTTCCTCCAGGAAGCCTTCCCTGACCCCAGGCTGGGTTAGGTAGCCTCCCACAGTACCCCTTCACGGCATTCATGACACTGACTTATGTTCACTGGTTTGTCCAAATTTGTCCATGTTCTCGGACTAAGATCACATCTATCTTGGATTTCAGTGTTTTTCTGGTATCCAGCATGCTGCCTGGCACAAGGCAGTCCCTCAATAAATATTTATTTAGAGAATGAATAAATATGTGAGGAAAGGCTCAGCAGCCAGGGCTGAGGGCCCATCTGTCCATTCTGTCCATACAGAATCTGACCTCCAGGCCAGCCCTCCTCTCTCAGCCAGACTGAGCAAGGTCCAGCCCCATCTTTGCAATCCTAGGGCCATGCCTCTCAGGGACACTGACAGACAGACCTGGGAGTCAGAGGTCAGAGACAGGAGAGAGGCCCACCGGTGGAAGAAGGAGTAGCCAGGGAAGCACAGGAGATTCTGCACAGAGGAGCCCTACCACCACCCCTGCAGTCTACATGGGCTCCAGGGCCCAAAGGCAACACTGAGACCAGAGATGTCTCCCCAGATGGGATCAGAAAGGAATCTCAACTCTGGGAGATGAGAGCCATGTGACTCTTGGAGCATCCCACAGGGCTGCTCTGTACAGAGTGGGCTCCTCATACTTGGAAAGTCCCCTGGGGAAGCAGGTTGGCCTCCAGATGGTGTTCTCTAAGGGCCTGTCCAGCTGGGAGTGATAAGTCTGTGCCATTGGGGTCAGATGACAGCAAGGAGGCCAGATTGAGCACTGTTGCCTGGGAAGAGAGGCTGTCATTATATCAGGTATACTTCAGCCAGCAATAAAACCAGGCCTGGGCAGGTCCTGGAAAGGAAGACATGGTGAGGGAGCTGTGGCAGTCCCTCCTCATCAGGCTGAGAGCATGACATCCTCTTCCTCTCCTCTGCTCCCAGATACAGGTGCTCAAAACCTTGGGTATCCCAGGCCTCAGAATCACTTGGGAAAACTATAGGGATAGTTTTCAAGAACAGCTGAAATAACCCATCCATTCATATGCATCCATGCATCCATTCATTCAGCTGTTTCTGCATGCATCAGACCTCCATCCATCCAACCATCTACTCACCCACTTCCCACCCAGCCATTCTTTGATCCATCCACCAAGCCAGCCAGCCATGGCATTCTAGATCTCCCAGCTGTGGACCTTGTGCCCCACACCCAGCAAGCCTAGGACAAACGCACATGGGAGGGGAGCACACTGCCTGAAGTCCTTCTCAGTGCCAGTGAAATCCAGAGGAAGTCAGTCCGCCACAGAAGTAATGCAAGTGCTCTTTCTGGACTATCAGAGAACATACAGACAGAGCAGGGAAGGCAAGAGTGGGAGAAGAAGATGCCACCAGGACAGGGGCCCCTGGACACTACCTCCATTACACTGCTACTAGGAGGTAGAAGAGCAAATCCTGAACTCACTGCCTGAGCCAGAGTCCCATGATCCTGTCTCTGCCCCACTCATTGTGTGACTCTGGGCAAGTTCCTTTCCCACTCTGTACCCCAAGACCTCATTTTCCCCATTTGTCAGATGCGAGAGAGGAGCTTGATATTTTAGACTCCTTCCAAACAAAGACTTGGCTCCTGAAGCTTTGGTTCTCACATTAAACCCCCCGTATTTGCATAGTCTCCCCACAAAGTCCTGCAAGTCAAAAAAACTCTCCCTGGGGCCACCCTCTTAGATCAAAGGAGGAATTCAGTCTCGGAAAAAGATAAAATAATCCAGGAGCTAGTGACGTGCCTTGGACTCAATAGACTTGTGCTTGACTCTGGAAGCTTGGGAAATGAAGAATATGAAGAATTTGGAGGAAATCTGAGGGTTGGACACTAGAGCCCCAGGGGAGATGGTAATGCAACCCTCCCCACACCGTCTCCAACCAGTGCTTTCCATCCTAGCTTTCTGCCTTCCTCTTTTTCCCACCCCCCAACCATACCAACCCGTCCTGGGCACTGGGTCTTACCCCCTTATCTCCCTCCCAGGTACATAAGCCCAGCAATCTGAGCAACTGGAACAACTGAGCATCCTGCTCCACTCTAACATTCTCAGCACTGTGACTCCATTTAATCAACATCTGCTTCCTGTTTCACAATCAGTCACTGAAGATTGTTGCATCTTCATTTATCCAGAGTTCGGGTGGGCCAGGAGCCCACCAGAGGTTGCCAGCTCTCTGAAGAGCAGTGTGGACTCCAAGTTCCCCAACCAGGATATGGAGGCCTTGTTGTCTGCCTCTAGATAGACACTTTCCTCTCTAGGGCACATGGCATCTATTACAGGTTCAAGGCCTGCAGCTGGGTGATACTTACCATTCTAAAGTCCAATATTTCAGCAGCCAAGATCTCCCTAAAAGTATCTGACATCCAGCTGGGCACGGTGGCTCATGCCTGTAATCCCAGCACTTTGGGAGACCAAGACGGGTGGATCACCTGAGGTCAGGAGTTCAAGACCAGCCTGGCAGACATGGTGAAACCCCGTCTCTACTAAAAATAAAAAATTAGCTGGGCATGGTGGTGGGCACCTGTAATCTCAGCAACTCAGGAGACTGAGGCAGGAGAATTGCTTGAACCCAGGAGGCGGAAGTTGCAGTGAGCCAAGATCACACTATTGCACACCAGCCTGGGTGACAGAGTGAGACTTCATCTCAAAAAAAAAAAAAAAGTATCTGCCATCCTGCTCAGGTTGCTCTTAGCCTTTGGGGCATGAAAAGTTCCCTTTCCTATCTGTGGAGAGAGCTCTTTGGGGAGAGGTTAGGTCTCATCCATCTCCATTGCCCACATTGCTTGCTCTTCTAGGGTCTGGCATGAAATAAGCCCCAGTACAAGTATGATTAACAAAAATGAAACTGAACTGGCCTTTTCCCACCACACCCCACGCCCCACCAGGAGCACATCCAGTTCTCAAGACGGCTGGGGCTATCTCTCTTGTGTGGTTGAGCATTTGTTCAGAGCCAACTCCATAAGGTTTTGATCATGTTTTGATCATCTCATGTTCAACTTCTCGGCAGGCAAGATCCATGTCACCCCCACTTTCTGGGCTCCGGGAAACTCAGAAAGCACCAGAAAACCTTAGAAATAACAGTTTCATGAAGGCTCAGGACTCCTAGTTGGGAAATTTCCTCTAAGTGCCCCTCTGTAGGAAAGAGCAGGCATTTCTCTGGTCAGATAACTTTCTAGATGACCCCTGAGACTTTGTCCACATGGAAGGACATGGCTCTGAGTATTAGCTAATTCTCCACTAGTGCTTACCAGGTACTCGGCACTGCTCTAAGTACTATTAACATTCTTATGTTGCAGCTGAGAAAATTGAGGTACAGAGGTTAAGTCACCTATCCAGGCTGGACAACTAGGAAAAAAGGCAGAGCTGGGGTTCCTGTCTGGGCAGTTTGGCTCCAGAATATCTATTCCGAACTACTACACATACCACTTCTCTGAGTTGACCTATCTCCTAATTACAAATGGAGAACAGTTACAGCAGGGCCAGATCTGGAGAAGCAGCCCATGGGAATAGGGAAAGCTGCTACTTTTGGCTGCTGGCCATGTGCAAGTCTCCAAGCTGAATCCTTTCTTGGCATTACATCACTGCATCCTCAAACAATCCCATGAGGTATCATTAGTACCATTCTATGTATAAGGAATTTATAGCACAGAAAGGGAGAATGACCTCCCAAGTCAACTCAGCTGGTGAGTAGCAAACCTGGGATTGCAGTTCAAGCCTCCCTGATGGGCAGCACTCGGATGGAGGGCTGGGAAGTCTAGTTGGGGTAGAAAATCTTAGCTTGCTAGAAAGAGCTAGGAAAAAAACAAGAGGAGAAGCTGGTGGCCACAGGTAGGGTCCCAGCACTTGAACCTAGACACAAAGACACACCCTGGAGGGCTTCCAGCCTCCTAGGCCTCTGCAGTAGAAGGGGCATCAGCTTCTCCAGAGCCTCAAAGAGGGGATCTACTCAGGCCTCAGTTTTCCCAATAGTGAAGCAGTGGAGAAGGGGATTATTGCACTACAGCAATGCCCACCCTACTCCTATTCCCAAGGGAGTATCAGAGGCCAGGACCTGGTGATATTTAAAGAAAAGGAGGAATGTAGAAACAGTGCTGGGGATCCAGAGGGTAGGGGTAGAGGCGGGACAAGGGAAACCTGTGACAGGTAGGGCTCCTGAAAAGGAGTGGGGCCAGGTGTTTGATCAGCAGGTAATGGAGGACCTCTGAAGAGCAAAGCATCTGAGGCCAGCATCCAACTCCCAAAAGACCCATATCTGAGGGCCACTTCCATCTCCCAAGGGGCCAGAGGGAGGCAGGGCAGGGTTGGAAGAAAAGAGCAAGGACAGACCACTAAGGATCAGGGTAGATGAAGGAGTTAGGCCTCCCCACTCTACTTCTAGGGCCTTCAGGTCTTCCCAGTGGCTCCAGTGGGATGCAGAAGATATGAGCTGTCCTCACT